TGTACTGATGGACATTTGGGTTGTTTCCATCTTTTGGCTATTGTGAATAATGTTTCCATGAATGTTCATTTACAATTTTGTTTGAACACCTGTTTTCAATTATTTAGATATATACCTAGGAGCAGAATTTCCTAGTTACATGTAATTGTGCATTTAAATTTGTAAGGAACAAAAACTTGTTTTCAGTAAAGGGTTTTCGGTTAGAGAAAGGACCTGATACAATTTATGATTTAAAAGATTATTCTTAGTGCTATGAGGAGAATAGTTTTCGGAGGATCAAGGAAACAATTCAGAATTTAACTGCAACCATCTGCCCTAAAGCAGCATGTAAGCAATGGAGAATAGAGAAAAGTGCTCCAATTTAAGGTATTAAGGAAGGGCTGACAAGATTTGTTGATGTTTTAGACATGAGGGAAAGAAAGGTTGCAAGGATGATTGTAAAATATCTGGCTTGAGGAATTAGAAAGTAGAAATGACCAATATCTTATAAAAAGGAAACTGTAAAGTGACTATGTTTAGGGGCTATAATCAAGGGTTCATCCTTATTTATCTTAAATTAGCAATATCTCTTCAACATCTATATCAGATACCTATAACTATGTAACAAACTGCTAACCACAAACCTTTGTGGTTTATTCGCTTATGAATCTTTGTATTAGTAACAGTTCTGAGCTCAGTTGAGTGGTTCCATAGGCCTCATTTGGGGTCACTTGTAGCTGCAATAGGCTAGTGATTAATTAAAGACTGGTTGACTTAGGGTACTTCCAATGGGATGGATCATTCTCCTCCATATGGTCTTGTCCTTTAACAGATCATCCCAGGAGGCTTTTTGTTTGTTTGTTTGTTTGTTTGTTTTTATTTACTTTGGGAGAGACAGAGAGAGTGAGGGAGAGCACAGGCAATGGGTTGGGGCAGAGGGAAAGGGTGAAGCAGACTCCCTGCTGAATAGGGAGCCCAATGTGGAACTGGATCGAGGTATCCTGGGATAATGACCTAAGCCAAATGTAGGCACTTAACAGACTGAGCCACCCAAGTGCTCTGATCCCAGGCTTTTATATGTGGAAATTTCAGGGCAAAAAGAGAGGCTGGAAACTGCAAGTTCTTTTGATTTCTTGGCTCACAGCTTGTACAATGTCCCTTTCATGGCATGCAATTGGTCAGTGAAGTCATAGGTTCAACCAGGATTCAATGGGGCAAAGAAGATTCAATCTCTTGATGGGACCATCAGCAACACCTTGCAAAGATGTATGTAAAGCAAGGGCAGAATCAGTGGCTTTTAAAATATGGTTTAATCTGTCACACCATCAAAGTTGAGATATTGAAAACATAATCAGTTATAAGTTCCTGAAGTTCAGGAGGGAAGATTGGGCTGGCAAGTGGAGGGAGACTGATGAAGAGATTCTTTTCAAATGCTCATCCCTGATGTCTGAATATTTACAAAAAAACAAAACAAAACAAAACAAAAAAAAACCCAATGAAATAAGGAGAAACAGAAAAGTGACTGAGATGGATCTGTCCGTGAGGTAAGAGGAGATCAAGTAAAAATTGTGTCCAGGAAGTTAAATTTGTCATCGAAATACACCAAAGATGGCTGTGTATTTGTTGTTTATGCAGTACATAGTGGCTTTTCTGTCAGTTAAGTATCTTTGAAGTTACCTGACCAACATAGTGATTGTTTTCTCTCTAGCCCTAGGCTAAGACAGGGACAATAGTTTCTGTGAATACCAAAATTCTTCCCATACCAAGCTCATTAAAAGATCTGAACTTCCATTAATATCCAGGGAAAGTAGGCTAGAAATTGTCTGCAATGCTAATGGGAGCTATGAATTTGAATTTTCAGTGAAGTAATAAGGCCATGTGTTTTAAAACAGTGGTAAAACTCAGTTGTGAGGGCAACTGAAAGACATTCACTTTATAACCATGTTGAAAAGCATAATATTTATTAAACACCATCCTACACAGAAAATTGTTCTAGGTTCTCACAATTACACAAAATTGAATGAAACACTTGATCTTGTTTTTCAATGGGTTGCCATTTAAATGGGATGTTATAGATGAGAAAATAAATTGTATAAATTGCTAATGAGAAGAGTGATCATATTCACACAGAGACATATCTATGAAAATCATGGAAAGATATGTTTAGTAATAGAGTACTGGAGAGAAGGCATAGGAAAAAAAAGAAAAAGAGTAAGCATTAGGGGGCCAGAGCAAAATCCCTACCAATGAGTAGTGTCTATAAACAAATCCCATAGTCTAATAAAAACATCAGCTATCATTTATGGCTTTTACAATGTTTGGAGCACCATTCTAAGTACATCCATATCAATTTACTTAGTGCTCACAATAACCAATAAGGTGCAAGATGTTCCTTTGTGCCTATACTGTATCTGATTGGCCTACTTGTTTTTAGTGCCCTTGGCCAGCATCCATCTCCCACAAATGCCTGCTTTGGTGGCTCTCTGCTTTCTTGCCTCTCAGACTTCCTCTGAAGCCTGAGAGACACTCAGCCCTCATGCAGACATGCATGGGAGCTGTCCTCAACCAATAGGGGACAGGAGTGAGTGGATAAATACCTCAGCTTTCCTCCCTTTGGAGGGATTACTTTGAGAAGCAGTCTATGCAGTCCTCTGCACAATTCTCAGAGCAATTGTGCTTTAGTAGTCCACCAGAGAAATTAGAGATACCTCTTACATTACCTTTTCTTCCCTTACTATGTCATTGTCCTATTTTCTTCACTCTGCTTTCTGTGATTATCTTCCACATAAACTGTATCCAAATCCAAATCCACTGTTTGTGGAGAACCCAAACTAACCCAAACAAACTGTTCTGCACTTCAATAGACATAAAAAGGAGGTTGTAAACATGTAAGAACTTGATCAAAATCATCTATAGAAATGATTAGAATCCAGATTGGCCCCTAATCTTCCATCATTAAAAATACTGAATCTCTCAGAATCAAGGTTTTCATGAATTAATTTTTACAGACAAATAAAATATTTATAGACCCCACGTGAGATTCTGTGATTCTAGATTATAATTTTTTATGCATAAAATAAAGATAATATATTTCCTTGATAAGAAATTAAGATCTAGAATATTGACTATTCTGGGACAGAAAAGCTCTCTTATTTCCCTACTATTCTCAAAATAAGTTATCAAAGGAATACTCTCACTTTAATCTGAATGTTTTACTGCAATAGATAATGCATTGAAAGACCCTATTTTTAGGATTTATAAAAGGTTTTCTTTGTAATCTCTTCCTCCCAGATTTACAAGGATTTAGATGACAATTATAACTTGCACTTACACACAATTTTATTGTTTAAAGTTATTTCCCTTAACTATTACAACAACATTACAAGGCACATGAAATCATTTTATAGATGAGGAAAGTTAACTGCAGCACCTGAATCTTGCCCACACTAATGTACTTGGCATATCGCAGAACCAGGAAATGAATCCACATCTTCTTATAACCCAAGGCAGGGCTTTGTGTTTTGTAGCATAGACATTTATGAAGTCTTTGATCATCACCAATGCTGAGGAAAACAGTAAAGAATAAACTCTCTGTGTGGTCCACGTGGAAAGGAGATGGTTTAAGTGAGTTTATAAATAGCTGCTTTCTGTGAATTGGCATCTTTTATTCTCTGCATTTCCAAAGTCCGTGTGGATTCATGGAGAAACTGGGTTCTAACAGAAGTTAATGTAAAAGAAACATAGTGTTGCAGTACCAAGTACCCAAGTTTTAGACTCTGACAGGAATAGGCAATTTTTCAACTCCACTGGAATGGCCTCTACCTATGGTTCTTGAGTCTCTTCACCCTCAGGTTGCTAACCTTTAAAGTGATACTGATAACACTGTTTCAAATAAGTTTAAACCTGAACTTAACATGAAGTCATAAAACAGAGTCAAATAAAAAAATGGCTGTGGTCACCTTTTGCTAATTTCTAGCTTCTGGTCTCAACATATGTGAAAAGGAGAAAACAAGAATCTGTGTATGATTACTTCACATTGGTCCTTTCTTAAAAGTCGGGGAAATCCTTTTTAAATTAGTTTTTTTCAATCCTTTATATCTGCATGACATTTTCATGTGATATTAACAAGTCAACAATACCTACTCTGATCTATAATACCCTAAACTCTGTTCTAATCTGATGGCACTCTTTTTTTTTCTTTCTACAAGTTATTGATACTTTTTAAAACATTTATTTAGGTAAAAATACACATAGCATAATATTGTCATCTCAACTATTTATACATTTTAGTTCAGTGTAGTTACACACATTCACGTTATTGTGAAACCATCACTGCAATCCACCCCATAAACCCGTTCATTCTGCAAAATCAGTACTTTATAACTGTTATACAATAACTCCTCTTCTCCCCTGCCCTCAGTCACTGACAGGCACCATTCTACTTTCTGTCTCTGAATTTGACTAATCAACATACCTCATATAAGTGGAATCACGCATTATTTATCTTTTTGTGACTGACTTATTTCACTTAGCATTATGTCCTCTAGGTTCACCCCACATTGAAGGATGTATCAAAGTTTCCTTCTTTTCTTTTAGAGCTAAATAATATTCTACTGTACGTATAAATCACGTTTTGTGTATCCATTCATCCATTGATAGTCCTTGGATTTTTTCAACCTTGTGGCTATTGTCAACAGTGCTGCTCTGAACTTGGTCGTATAAGTATCACTTCTAGATTCTGCTTTCAGGATTTTTGGTTATAGGAGTAGAATTGCTGGATCATTTGATAGTTCTATTTTAATTTTTTTTGAGACAATTCCATGCTGTTTTCCAGAAAAGAAGTTGCACACTTTTTTTCATTCCCATTGACAGTACACAAGAGACTTGAGGTGACTCCTCATTATAGTTTTGATTTGCAACTCCTTTGTGATTACTAATGTCGAATATCTTTTTACATACTTGTTGGTCATTTGTATATCATTTTTGGAGAAATCTCTATACATCTCCTCTGCCCATTTAAAAAAAATATGGCATATGTCTTTTGTTTGCATGTTGTCCTTGCACCAGAGCATGCTAATCTCTGTATCTTTCTAACTTATTGTATGTGATACCAAAGCAAGCACGTAAGCTGTTGATTCTTAATTTGAATTCTTAGTGTTTCAATATACATTTTCCTCTTCCCAACAAACTACCATCCCTCACAATGTACCTACACTCAACGCTTTATTTCATAAGAAATACAAAAGAAGATTTGTATATATTCTTAAACTTATTTCTTGTTTATATTCAAGTTATTGCCTCTTTCCATTGCTTGATTACTGATAGTTTTGAGTTTTGTTTTGCTTTGTTTGGTACGTTTTCATGTCACTATGTTTAGGAAAGTGGAAAATTTTAAGGTCTGACTTAATGATGTCACCTTAAACAGCCTGATCAAGGTAGAGACGAGTAAGGAGCAATATTTCAACCTTGCATCTAAAGAGGACGTTAATCTTGCTCTTTTTTAAAATTTTTAATCAGAAGTTCCTAATTTTCTCACCATTGATGTAAAAATCATTTATGCTTCCAGCACAACCAACATAAATCATTAACACAAAAAAGAATAGTAAGCTATCTTTAATCAATATCACTTCCTTCTATTAGACACAGTGGAAATGAAAGAATACAATTCATCATTGATCAGGAGTCTTGCAAACATTCAGCCAGGGCTTCATATCTTCCTCATATTGAGTTTGTTCTAGTCATGCTGGACTTCTTTATGTTTTTAGGACAAATCAAGGTCCCTTCCTTCCCATGAACTATGCACATCTTATTTCTTTCTGTCATTTTGTCATTTCTTTGAGGTTTTAGCTTAATGCCATCTCCTTGGAGAGGCCTCCTGACACTTAACCCAATGGTGCTGCTTCTTGGACAGTCACTTTCTATTGTTGCATCCACTTTGTTTTCTTCACAAAACAAATGACTTTGTGAAATTATCTTATTAATTATTTACTGGTATGCTATTTATTTTCAGCCACCCTCCCTCATTATGATATATGTTCTACAACTGCAGAGCTCTTTGTCCTTGTTTCACTTCTAGATCCTCAGTGCCTGAAACAGTGCCTGGTTAATAGCACATATATGTTGCATGAATACCTGGTGACAATGTCAATTAGAGGTCAAGATCTTTTTATGTAAAAGTGCCAGATATTTTAGGCTTTGTAAGGCATGTGTTCTCTGTTACAACTGCTCAAATCTGCTACTATAAATCAAAAGCAGCTATTAAATAATATAAAAAAAAAGAGAAAAGCGTAAGCTTGACTGTGTTGCAGTAAAATTTTATTCACAGAAATAAGGCATAGGCTAGATTTGGCCTAGGGATCACCGTGTACAGACTGCTCGACTAGAACACCTCATGTCTATTTTGGTATCAGGGCACACTTGGATGTTAATTAATTCATTTTGGCTAGTGTTTGCAAAAAAAATGTTAATAATAATAATAAAACAGAGATAAAACTTGTTTTACTTCAAAACAATAAGTAATAATTAAGATAAAGATTAAGAGAATTTTCCAGATTTTCTGTGGAATAGTATGATACTTGTTCAATCAGCAGCTTCAGTGGGAAAGGGCAATTGGTGTTAAAGATAATGTGATGGTAGGAGGGGATATTTGAAATCATCCTTAGTGTACAGCAGTGTGCTTCCAAATCATCAATGATTGCCAGACTGCACAACAGAATGACCAGTAACTCCGGGGTGGTGCCTGAGGATTTGTGTTTCTATCTAGTTCTAGGTGATGCTGATACTGGTAGGGTAGAGGCTGAAAAGTGGAGAGGAGAGGCATGTGAAGATGTGAGTGAGGTAACACAGGTGAGCAGTGGTTTGCATGATGGTAGGGCTGTGGAAATAATAAGCAGGACACAAATGAGAGGGAATTAATTATCCAGGAGAGTAGCATACACAGAAGTTAATTTATGGAAAAACTGAATTTATAGGAAAAAGATGAAATGATTCTTGGGGGATATGTTGAACAAGAGGAGTGTAAAGCCTCAGAAATAAATTATGTCAGACTAACTACATTTTCTTCTTTAACAGAAGTACTAGACTCTAGTCATGTAGCTGCATTTGATTAAGCATGGCACTTGGTGATATATTTCCTGATACTATATTGGATGAACTGAGCCACTCACTTTAACAATATAGAGCATTAATACCTGGTCTTATGAATGTAGGCAAAAGATATTGACACAAGGGCAGCAAAGTGATGAAGGATGACCAATGGTGGCAGAGTCTTCCCGCAGCTACATCCCATTGACAGATATGCCAGGATGGAGAAATTGATGTTTTTGACATAAAACTAGAAGAAATGTGTTAAATCAGAGAATGTTTGTGGCATGATTGAGTAAAAAGTTAAATCTCATCTTATCGATTTTTTTTTTTAAATAAACAAGTCTGACTCTTTTCCTAGGAGGAAGAGAGAAACAAAGAACAGATGGAGCTGAAAGATATCCATACTAAGATGGGATACACAGATTTAAGTGTTTATGTAATCTCATTAAGTATAAATGGACCAAAGTTTCCGATTAAAGGAAGAAAGCTTCAGACTGGCTTAAAAAAATGAAATTAAAATTTTAAAAAAGTTAAGACTGAACTATATGCTGTATACATGATAAGTTGAAAACAAGAGAATAGAAAAAAATAATGGCATGCACACTATAACAAGAAGAAAAAATACTAAGTATACTTTAAAACAAAGTTTATTACCAAAATAAGGTAAAACATTCTATCATGAGAAAAAGGGAAGTTTACCAGGAAGATACACTGATACTAAAGCCTCAATATGCAAACAGCAAAAACTATCAGAGTCACAGAGGGAAATAGAAAAATCTATAGTTAAACTTATTAATTTTCATTCCCTTCCTTCGGTCATTGGTAGAACCTAAAAAAACAATTCAGTACCTATATAGTGGACTCAACATAATCAGATTGAATTAATCAACACATAAAGAATCTTCTGAAAGATCAAAAGCTATAAACTTATGGAGGAAAATCAGCAAATCCCTGAGTGGCTCTCCACATTTTTTATTTTCCAGACATATCAGACATGGCTATAGAGGTACATGTCCTCTTTGAGACCTGTGCACCTTCTGTAATCACTTCCTACTGTTTTAAGACTTGCCAAAACAGTAACAGGATTTTCAGAAGAGGCTGATGTTCTTCAGCAACTTAATTTCTTCAAAACCTTATTACCTTTCTTATTTTTTACTTCTAGTCGGTTTTATGTATAAGTTAACCACACCAAAAGTTATTTTTGAAACAGATCTCAGATGGTCTTTATTTACTTGCTTTCCGGTTCTCTTATACAGATCAACTTAATAGCAGCTACCTGAGGTGAGGCCTGAAAATAGTGCACCTCAAATCTGATCACTTTACTGAAATAAAAATTCTCATCATGTCTTTGTCAAAAAACAAAAAACAAAAAACAAACAAACAAACAAAAAACCTTCTAAATGTCCAAATTCTAGTTTACTCATGAGCAATGTAATTGTGGAGAGAAGTTCCATATCCAAAATAAGTATATTTTCTGACTATTGACAAAGGAGGTAAGTTCTGCTTAATAAGTACTTCATTTATTTGTTGCTATTAAATTATTTGCAAGTAACAATTTCATTTAATTACATAATTTTTTGGCTTAGGAATGTGGGAAGGGCTCAAATGAGCAATTTTTCTGCTCATGTGGTTTCAACTGGGGTCATTTAGTGCTGTTTAACTTGCAGGTGGGTTTTTCTGGAGCATCCAAGATGGCTTCATTTATATGGTTGTTGTCTTCAAGCCTAATCTTAGATAGTACTTCTCCCTATCAATGGAATCATAGGGTTTCTTTGTATTATCTCTCTACCAAAATAATGGAACATTTTCTAGGTGGCTTAGGTCTCAAAAGAACAAGATAGAAGCTATCAGTACTCTTAAAGGCTAGACTCAGAACTGGCATAGAATCATTTGTGCCATAATCAACAGAAAGGAAATATTCTTCATGTTGCCTATGTTTTGCATAGGAGAGAGTTTTGTAAAGGGGACGTCTTGACACATGTGTCCAAGCTTGCAGGCAGAATTACTGTTTAGCTTATGCTCATGAAAGGGCTCAAGGCTTTCTTGAGCAAGTCAGCATTCTCAGAAACACAAACCTAATAGCAACCATGCTTGGAAGCATGAGGGTCTGCTTTTCCAATCATTTAATTTCAAACAATTGAAAAAATAAGAAATATTGCCCATGTATTCAGACAATTACTCAAATAACAGTCTAAATTGTATCTTATTTTAGAGTTTGAGAAAAAGAGCCCAGCCACATGTGAAACCCCACATGGGTGTAATCCAGAGGAAATGCTGTTTAGTTCAGGCATATGTTTAGCTTTTGTGTCTTTCCTTCAACAATGCAGAGAATCTGGGAAGCTTTAAACACTAATATGATCTAATTGGAGCTACAAAATCTTGTCTTTTAACTTGCATCTGAAGTGTGTCTACCACCCACCCTTTAACTTGCAGCACCCTTAACTTGTTCCTTGTCTCAGCTCACTAAGCCTTCCTGATATATCCCCATCCTTCTTTTAAGAAACTTATTATTATCATTATTATTACTTTGCTTTAGTAAGAGGTGGGAAAGAAGTCTTCATTATGTAAAATGTGATATATAAATCTGTGTGGAGTGCTTCTAAAAGTAGAATGTCTGCCAAGTTCTCTAGCAATGTTACCAGTGCATAATTAAGTACTCATTTAAACTATAGTTTATGTTTGTGGGAAGGGAGAGTGTGGAACTCAGAAATAGAAGTTGTTGTGGGGTGGGGTTTTTCTGTATTTTTAAATTATATGTTAGATTCTGTTTTTGACAGCTATGACTTTTAAAGTAACAAAACTGGATTTTCAGTTCTAGCAATATGGTGGTCTTGGTGACCGGAGCAATCCTTGTGAAATACAGTACTTAAAAAGTCCTGGATAAAAATAAGATGTAGTATGAAATAAGACAATCTACAGAGGCTGGAGATTGAGAAAGAAAGTAAATTTAAAACAGTATTGAGTATTGACTATGGCACATTTTCTGGAGCATCTGGTTATCTCTGATTGCCTAGAGCTAAGTATTTAAATCAGTCTT